TACTGCCACATAGAAGGGCTGACCCGTCAGTAATATCTTCCTTTACCGGACGATGGATCAATTCCAAGGAATCGGACTTGCAGTTTAGGCCGTAATACTTTCGAAGATACCAAACTCAAAGAATAAAAAAAAAAAATTAAATATCTGGGAAAACTTTTTACAGAGGAGGAATAGTGTGATATTGAAATCCGAAGGCGTATTTGAATAGTCAAAGATTGCATTCCAACTGCTAAGCTGAGTATTCAACAACAACAGAAAATCGTTATAAACAAAGAAAAGAGAGCTGAACTGTTATGTAATATCTGTCCTCCTATATGGCGGTGAATGCTGGACAATCTCCTCAAAGATGAAGAAGAGACTTGAAGCAACAGAAACAAAGAAAAGAGAGCTGAATTTTTATGTAATATCAGTCCTCCTATATGGCGGTGAATGCTGGACAATCTCCTCAAAGATGAAGAAGAGACTTGAAGCAACAGAAACAAAGAAAAGAGAGCTGAATTGTTATGTAATATCAGTCCTCCTATATGGCGGTGAATGCTGGACAATCTCCTCAAAGATGAAGAAGAGACTTGAAGCAACAGAAACAAAGAAAAGAGAGCTGAATTGTTATGTAATATCAGTCCTCCTATATGGCAGTGAATGCTGGAAAATCTCCTCACAGATGAAGAAGAGATTTGAAGCAACAGAAACAAAGAAAAGAGAGATGAGCTGTTATGTAATATCAATCCTCCTATATAGCAGTAAATGCTGGACAATCTTCTCGCAGCTGAAGAAGAAATTTGAAATAATCGAAATGTGGTTCTACAGAATGATTCTATGGAGCAAATAAGTTATAGAGAAAATGGAAACAACAGGGAACGTTATAATTAACACAAGGAAGAGACAGCTGAAATTTCTAGGATACAAAATGAGGAAAGAGAGCTTGGAAAATTTGATACTCACAGGGATAACTGAAGGCACGAGGGAAAGAGAAAAAGAACGTAAAATATACTTGAGTAAATGCATGGCGGAACAGGGTTTTGGAGAAATAATAAAAAGATAAAATTTATTAAGAGCTATAAAGAACAGGAAATTGTGGAGAGCCATGATCGCCTACGTCATGAAGGGAAAGGGCACACGAAGAGGAGTCAAATTTAAAAGTATTTATTCTTAGAATTGATGGTAAAGTCGTTTTGTCGGACAGTCCAACGAAGTCTTAAAGGACCAAGCACTTAACACACACACACACACACACACACACACACACACACACACACACACACACACACATATATATATATATATATAATTATTTATTCGAAAATTATAACATAAATATGTTATAAAATAACTACAAAAATATCCATTTTGTTTTACACCATCATTGATAAGACACCAGAGGTGTTGAAACAAAATGGCTTTTGTAGGGATTTTATAACATATTTATGTTATAAATTCGAATAAATAATTATATTCCTAATCCTTGAGCACTCTTTTTAAGAATAGTAATTGTTGGTTATTAGAATTTATTCCGTATACAATCCTATACTTATATATATATATATATATATATATATATATATATATATATATATATATATATATATATATCGAGAGAGAGAGAGAAAAGGAGGAGACAGTAAATAACGGAATAGTGGCTAGCATTCACCACTATAATCAAATCATCTGGGCTGTCGGTTCCTAGAAACTGAGCTGCTTGACCCTCATACGTCGAATGCGATGGGAGAGTCCATCAGCTATATATATATATATATATATATATATATATATATATATATATATGTGTGTGTGTGTGTGTGTGTGTGTGTGTGTGTGTGTGTTGGGGAAGCAGATCATTACTTAAACGTACATTCTTAAATATAACCGAAAATGAATGTCTCTTATGTCTGATCATTAGCCGTTCTAATGTTCTAAATGTTTGCTTTAATTTCTGGTGAAAACAAAGATAAAAATTGTCCAACATCTAGATATTTATTTATCAATTTGGTCCTACATGAGCCATCCTCCGAGTGTTTATACAAACCTGAAACAAAGATATCCACCGTTAAAGATAATATTTTGTCATTTTGAAAAAATTGCTATGCGACGATAACGGTCGCGGAATAGCAGACGTAGATTGTAAATTCAAAATGGCAGCCCTATGACGTCATACCACGTGATAGACCGAAGTATTACAACAGAAACATATGTCTAATTGCAATGTAATATGTTGGGACCTTGTCTGAAATGTAATTTTGTTGATGCGTGTTTTGAAAACTTCCATAGCTCCAAAGATAAATTTAAATAATTATAGGAGCGCGTTCATGCGTATTTTTAAAAGTTACCATCACAACGATCACGGTTACAATAAGTTTGTCTTTGTAATTCTTCCTGGGGATGATCGAAAGTACTTGGGTAGGAAAAAAAATACGTGGGACTCCTTGAATGCTATCTTAACATCAAGAAAATGGTTAGAGAACTAGAAAAAGATTATTATAAAAATAAGTAGCCATGGCTATATTATTTAATTATACATGCTTGAATATATATATATATATATATATATATATATATATATATATATATATTTAAAGCAACTGACAAATGGTTAGAGAACTAGAAAGGATTATTAAAAAATAAGTAGCTATGTCTATATTATTTAATTATACATATTTGAATATATATATATATATATATATATATATATATATATATATATATATTTAAAACAACTGACAATAAGTCCAATAAATCCAAGAATATAAAAGGGAAGGTTATATAGTTCAACCCTCCATTCTGCAAATTATCCAACATAATTATAGGAAAGTACTTCTTAAATTTAATAGATAAACACTTTAGTAAAAACACTTAAAACTGCCCATCAAAAGTGTATAAAAATAATACGTAAAATTAAATCCATTTTTTTATGCTTGGAAATGTGATCTAAGGACCCAGAAAAAAGACGCCTTCCTGGGGAAATAAAATATAATCAATAGAACCTTAAGGTTCTCTGGTTGATATATATATATATATATATATATATATATATATATATATATATATAATTTCGTCATTATTCCAATATTCCAATTATCATATAATTCGTATTACTCAAACATATTTATTTATTGGTTTAATTTTTTAAATTGCTACCTTAATTATCGATACATTTTATTTTATTTGTAAAGATTTCTACTCCAGTTAGCTTACTACAGTAAAGTATAAATAAGAAGCACTTATACAAGGACTAAATTCTTCACAGTAATCTTGTTCTAATATTCTTTCTTGACCGTTTTTCAAAAGAAACACGTTATTAACTTTGCTTTAATACGATTAGTAAGGTACACGGTTAGAAGTTAAGGGCATCTAGGCAAGTTCAGAATTTAGTCTTGTTCTATAAGCCTTCTAGTCTTGTTGATCAATTATCAAAGACTTTCACGCCTTTTCTATCATGCTTACTTCTTTCACAGACTGGATAAGCTTACACTATCTTGGTCGCCATATTTATTTTGCTCACTCAAAATCACGATCAACGAAAGCGTACAGACGGTAAATAAATACATAACTCTATCGTCTTCTTTTCCCCAGGCATATATTTCTCCAAATTGATATTTCTGCAGTCAGTCGAGTCTGACACCAACGGATTTATCGAAAGTGATCGAACGGCGATCAGTTTCAATCCGAGGCACGCGGTCTGGGCCAAGACTGTCAAATGTTTTCGGCTGATACATCAGTTATCTGCTCTTGTCCTCCATTTTGATTTCTAGCATGTCTCTTCTAAGAAGCAAACAACGGTATGATCGATCCCCTGTTAACATTTACTGTGCACTTGAACCTCCCCCAACGCCCTGTCTTTGCCGGAACAAGTTTACGTCTTTCTGTTTTAGTTTGTTTATCAAACTTTTTTATGTTAGAGCATTCGAAATATTTCGCCTTTTTTTTTTCATGTCATTCAAATTTCGATATTTTCTTTCTTTTTTTTTTCAAATGATTATTTCCGTTTTTCTCTTTACCCACAGTTATTCTTTCTTTCTTTCTTTTTTCTTTCTTTCTTTCTTTCTTTCTTTCTTTCTTTCTTTCTTTCTTTCTTTTTTTTAATGATTATTTCCGTCTTTCTTTTTACCCACAGGTTCATTCTTTATTTCTTTCTTTCTTTCTTTCTTCATGATGCTTTTTCAATTTTTTAATTTACCCCTCCCATTCAATTATTCATTCAGTCTTTCTTTCTTTCTTTCTTTCTTTCTTTCTTTCTTTCTTTCTTTCTTTGTTGCTTTGTTTAAATGGTTCTTTCTTTCTTTCTAAAAATCTCACCGTCTTTCCTTTTACACACCTTTTCTTTCTTTCTTTCTTTCTTTCTTTCTTTCTTTCTTTCTTTTTTTTTTTAACCTGCTTCATTCTTTCTTTTCATTTCCCTTTTCCGTTTCAACGAAGCTATGCTGTTATATTTTTTTCCATTGTTTTTCTTTCTTTCTTTCTTTCTAATTATTCTTTCTTTTTTAATGATTATTTCCTTCTTTCTCTTTACCCACAGGTTCTTTCTTTCTTTCTTTTTTCACAACTATCTTTTCTTTCTTTCTATAAATTTTCTTTCTTTCTTTGGTTCCACAGTTTTATTTTCAGTCATTTTTTTCCAGTATAGTTATTCTTCATTTCTTCGCCATTTTTTTCTTGTTTACATCTTCCTCTCTCTTTCTAATTTTTCTTTTCTTAACTTGCAAAATATCCGTCCATCCTTCCTACTCTTTATTTTCTTCTTAGATCCCTAAATTGTATTACTTTCATCATTGTTCTTTTGAAGTAAAAACATTTGTAACCTTCTTTTTATCATCCCATAACGTCTTTTCCTTCTCCGGCATTATTCTTTTTAGTTTATTTTTTCCTTAAGAGAGCTTTTTTCGCTCAGTTGCAGAAAAAGTCAACAATTTTCATTATCTCATTCCCCCCATCACATCAACTGCCCTTCCAATCCGAGCTCGTGTAGTTACTGAAATATGGTTGTCACCAAATGCCATCTTCAGTCAATGAAGACGAATAAGTCGATGCCAATTTGCCGCCATTGTTTTGACTTCGACACTTCCTCCTTCATATCGGCTTTTCTTTTTGCTTTTTATTTTCCTTTGCTTCATGTAAATACTTCGTCCGTTACCATTCAACAGACGACTTCTTTCTTCTTTTCTTTCCAATCAGTTTTCCTTTTATTTCTTCACGTTTTTATTCAAAATTTCTCCATTTCTTTAGTTACTCTATTCTGGTTTCATTTCTTTTTTGTTTATCTTTCTTCTCGTCCTCTCCTCTGCCCGTTCCCAGCTTCTCAATCATCC